TACTGTGGTGAAGTACTTTCAAAAGACGATAGTCAGCAGATAAATAATTACCCAAAGTGAAGTGCGAGTGGTTGACTACCTTAAGTAGTTACAAATTCTACAGGACACGAACTTCTTGTTCATCGGCGGTTTGATAATGGCGGCTGCTGTCGAGAAGTGTGACCTTCACGAACGTGTTGCTTTGTCAGTACTGAAAATGGTTGGCGGTGAACCAAAATGGTGAGCTTTTCTTGAAGTTTCCGGCTATTCCCAGTTTGATAGTCGTATGGTTGATAGATAGTTATAAGAGAACCAGAACAACGGCTCTAACCTCACACTATTCCTGAAAAAAATTTACTGAATGAAAATTATCAGACATGCTTTCCTTGCAGGATCATGCTGGGCTTCATGACTGTCACGGCTTTATTAAGGTAAGTCATCCAGATGGAGAAGAGTGTGGCTGATCGACTGAATATCATCTTCTAGCATGTTCATTTCAAATACGGCCACCACTGCGATGATGGTACCGATTGGCCAATCGGTAATCGGTCAACTTGTGGCGTCGTACAACGCTCATCCGGAAAATGGGTAAGTGTAGGGCTTCGATTGTAGGGCTATTGTCCTACCATTCAAGGCTCATAGTAGCTGAAAAAACTAGGAGCAAGACACGGAACAGCCCTTCAAGTAGTGTTGAAATTCTTGTTCAGCACTCATCCCTGAAACAGTAAAGTAACGATTTCATGGAACTTTCGACGACCTTCTGGATTGTTTCGAGTTTCCTTCCGCTACTGTAAGCCAAAGAAGTGAATAAAAATGATTTCTAGCCTTTCAGTGTTCGCGATCGAGCAGCGTGTAAGCGGATGTCAACAGGATTGATGCTGTGCATCTGCATAGCGGCAAACATTGGAGGTACTGGGACGATCACTGGAACGCCAAGTAACCTGGTCATGATCGGATCTTTGAACCAGTGAGCGATTATTCTTATTCTGTAGACATTTACACCTAGTTTGGATCGCTGGTTCCCTCCTCTCATAGTGGCCTCAAGAGAGCAA